ATGGTCATGCTCATGCCCACAAATTCATGAGTGAAAATTGAAAAATGAACCATTTCTCTGCACCTCAGACAGCTCATTTGTTACATTTTCAGTTTTTCTTCTTTTTTTTTTAAGTAAGAGATTACTAACTTGGACGAAAGTAGCTCATTGCAAATTGCGATATATCAGTATCAGTGTATATTTTGACAATACATATTTGTCCACCACAGAGAGAAACCTTCTTTTTTCAACTCTACTACTTAGTGCAGGATATTAACCAAATTTAAGGGATCCTTATCAAAACTGCTTATGCTATGTGTGTATGTAAATGTTGAGTTTAGTTTAGTTTATATCTTAGCTTATCTTAATCTTAAATATCAATTTCAGAATTGGGTTAAAAAAATAAATGTTATGTTATTTCTGGTTTTCTGGTATTTATGTTTGTGAATCCCTATGTTTTTAATTAATTAACATTTTCATTTCCTGTTGCCAATAAATGAACCTGACTGATACAGACTGGTTGCAATGCAACAAGGAATTTATTATTTTGAAAATGAAAACAAACATGTAAACAAACAATGAACAATATGAACAAATATTCAATCTGAGGAATAGTTTTTACTCTGAATCTTCTGGCAGGAAACAGCAACAGAGAGTCTTTGTGAACCAGCTGAAGAAACTTCATTTGGCTGAGGCTCATGTTGGCCTGCTTTCCAGTGGTGACAGGAGATGGGTGGGGTTAGATGAGCTGGTGGAACTGAAACCACAGCAGAGTGTCTGGTAGGCACCCCACAAATATCCTCACAATCCATGACTAAAGCAAGTTCAGCAGGAGGGGGTCAAAGGAGGTGGTGGAGATGACACCACAGCAGTGTCTGGTTATCTGGTGGGCCCCTCAGCAGTGGCTGAATGTTCAGCAGGTAGAGGAAAGGAGTCTGGCTCTGGGGTGGGAGTGGGCTATTCCTCTGCTTCATCCAGGCTGTTGTTCAAGTCATTCTAGGTGACAGTGTTGACAGGGGTTTCAGCAGCGGTTGTCAGGTCATCCAGTCCTGCAGAGATGACAGGAGGCTGAGAAGAAGGTAGAGGAGAAGAGTCTGGTTCTAGGTTGGGAAATGGCTGCTCCTCTACTTCATCCAGGAAATTGTTCAAGCTATTGTGGATGGCAGTGGTGGTCGAAGGAGCTAGTGTAGGAGCAGTGACGGCAGAGTCTGGTCCTTGTTCAAGTTTTCATCAGGGGTGTTTGCACTCCCTACACCATCCACCAGGTCTGCTGGCTCAGTCCAATCCTTGTGAGTGTTCATTTATTGACATATTTACAGGAGAAATTAGGAGTAATGTAAGAGCTGGCTCAAAATGACTGTGAGATCTTTTCAGGAGTCTGATCTTATCAGCTTGAGAAGAGGTCTGGCCTCATTCTCATCGAAGTCCATCAGTTCAAAATCCCAGAAATGAAAGAAAATGAAAGAACACACAAGTTTCATCTTTACTGTCCACCTCTCCCTCATTACACACAGACTGGTGTGACATGACGAGAGTTTAGGCTGAGTGTGTGTGTGTGTGTGTGTGTGTGTGTGTGTGTGTGTGTGTGTGTGTGTGTGTGTGTGTGTGCACGCACCCTGAGTGTGCTTTTGCTCTTCTCCACTCAGGTTGAGTCAGCTCAGTCAGATCTTCAGCAGTCACCTCAGATGGGAGCCAGTTTTTCTGTTGAAGCCTCAGAAGTTCAGCGATCTGAACAACATACAAGAGATAACATATTTTTATGTATGAAAATATTGGACACATTTTATGAGATTTTACCTGGTATTTTATTTTGATGTAGACTAGTGGGTCTTACTTGAGGCTTGTAGGAGCTGATGATGTGCCTGGTCATATATGGGTGTGTCAGACAACACCTGGAAATAATATAATGTTATTCTACAGCTTCTTATTCAGAGTTTTAACTACATCTGAAAAAACACCAGCAAAGAAACTTCTTACATACCTTGATAGGACTGTAGATGCCTCTGCCAGTAAACTCCAAACAAATTAAACTGTCAAAATGACTGTGAAAATTTCACAATAAGTTCAACAATAGACTCAAGAGTACTCACACACAGTTTATCCTCCAGACACAAATGAGGTGTTTTCAGGGTGAAGAGTGTGTGAAGTTTCTTATTGTGGAGCCACTGAGATCACCATTCAAGAGCTTTCTGTGTGTGTGTGTGTGTGTGTGTGTGTGTGTGTGTGTGTGTGTGTGTGTGTGTATGTATATATATATATATATATATATATATAAAACACATCCATGCACACACACATGTCTACCATCCACCATCACACAGACCTCAATTATTTCCAGTATAACTGAGGTCAATGTGTTAAAACTGATTTTTACCTTTACATATTATTTTTTTTATTTCTTTTATTCTGCTCTGCAGTGTTTCAAGTGAAGTGTTATCAGTGATTAGAGCAACACAAACCAAATACATCTGAGCTCTACTGCATCAGATTGAGCTACAATATGCAGACACTATATCCACATTTTGATTACAGATATCAGACATATTGGTCCCTTGACAATGCGGAGCCCAGTGAGTCCAGGTTACGTTAAAGGGGTACTTTAAGTCAAACTCCAAAAATGTGATCTTACATTCCCCGAAATGTAACCCAACCAGTAAGATCTTTTTGTCAGACATTTCCTGGATTCTCCTGGACACCCCCTTGTCTCACAGCCCCAGGGCTTTTGTTATTAATTTTCAAGCCTGCATACCCAAGCCTAGATATGACACACATGACAACATTGTCAGGGTTATTTTCCCAGACTTGACAAAGCCTGATTAAGCCATTCACAGACTAAATAGTCCTCTCCATGACTAGTAAACTGACCTTTATGACTAAAATCAGTGGAGCTTAGCTTTTAACTGAAGCCCCAGACGTTGTTTATGCTTGTGATTTGATGCAGTATGACTTGACTGTAGTTACGGTGTAAGGACTTGAGGATCCAGTCATACTTTGACTGTCCTTTGGTTTACTGTCACTTCACTTGTGATGTCATGCCACAAGGTTGACTTGAGAAATAAAGTGGCTTGATCCTGCCTCTAGCTTGCAGGAGTATGTGCATAGCTCTTGAAAAAAAGTGATCTTTGGTCAGCCACTGACCAAGATCATCTTCCCCGATAATGTACAGCTATTCTTTCGTTTGAAAAACTGCTGCAAATGTAAAATCAGTAAACAATACACATAAACAACACAGTGTATATGTAATCATATTACACAGACAGCTTAACTTAATGTATATTGTGACCTTGAATGTGGTATAATAAGATTCTTGAGTCTTGGCTTCAGTCTCTAACAATCTTAAGTACATGCTGCGTTCCCAGTCATGGCGCCAATAAGCCCATGAGTGCAGCACACATGTAACCCTGCAACCCTTAACAACCCCCTAATCCATACACCCCAGCTCAGTCTGACATATGAGATATACTGTTCCTTCTCACCTCATGTATGTGTGTGTATGTGTGTGCACTCGTGGGCATATGTGAGAGTGTGTATGTGCTCATACAGTCACACAGAAAAGTGTGTGTGCATGTGTGTTGAGGCCACAGCTCTCTTCCTTTCATAGCAGGGCTCGGCTGCAGTCTTATGTTTCACTCTGCAGGGAACACATACACAAACATACTGGCACACATGCATGCACACACGCACACGCGCGCACACACACACACACACACATCCATCCATCTTCATAGGCAAGTCAGTCATCCATTTCAGCTTCAACTTTGGCCCACATCACTGGTAAGTCTGTATTCATGTATGTATGAATACCAGAGAGGGAGAGAAGCGGGAGACCAAGGAAGAGAAAGACAACCAGTTGGGGGGCCATTTGGTTTCCATAGAATGCCATGCATTGAGTTCACTGAGTTCACATGTGTGAACCCAGTTCGCCTGGGGAAAGGCAAGGTGGCCTGATCTCCCTCTTGTCCTGCTGCATGATGCAACACTACATGCAGCTTCAGGCATGTTCTCTGTAGAGTCTCAGTGTGAAGAAAAGTTGAACTGCTGCAGTAATTTGGATTTCTTGAAAAAGGGACATCTGCACTGTTGCAGCCTGCCCATAGACCTTTTAAATTGATTCTTAGAAAGCTGACTGAACAGTGAGTAAGATCAGTTGCACATAAGAGTGAGAATGGTGTCATTTCCCTATGAAATAAAACAGATCATTTCCCACTTGTTAGTTGATTCATAGTCTTATTCTTTTTTCCCTTTATTTTTCCTTCTTCCTTTCACCTTTTATCCTCCTCTCCTAAATAGTCTGAATTAAAAATGTTTTAAACCCTAATTATTATATAAAAACATAAAACAGTATTAATGTTATGAAACATCAGCTGACAGAAATCTGTTGAAACACTTGTCCCTGCTAAACTGACTATCACTCCATCATTTCATTTTTTTTTTTTTTTCATTTTTCCACTATTGACCTCTTGCCTGAGTGACGTAGGTTGATCTTTTCAGATGATAATAATGTGTGAACTGAACTGAGTGTTGAACGTACAGGAACAACATGCCAGGACACAATTTCTAGATTTTTTTTGTTTTTGTTTGCACACGCACACGGAAGAAATGACATCTGTGCTAACAACTGACCTGTCACTGCAAACCCTGAAGTGATTGGTGATTCAGCATTAAAAGTAATTCAGCAAGACAGCATAACATTTGAATAATGGTTAATTGAAAAACGCCACCGCAAAATACATATATCAATATGTACTATCACAATAACACTGCATCACATTAACTGTTTCACTGCCGGCCGTTTGTATGTCTTGTTGTAGGATGATTTAAAAGGAATGTTGGCACTCTGATGGATTTGAAGACTCAGACGGCTGCCAGAACTCCACTTGATTTAATTACTCAGTAGTAAACTCTACTTCAGTCCTGGCAGACTGAATTTACAGGCTGATTTATAGGCAGACCACACACACACACACATGCACAAGGTGCTCACAGTGAACTTTCCTACTGTCTCTCTCCTTTTCTATCAGATGGCTCTTGGCTCAGAAAGCCAGCAGAGGAAAAGAAAGGCTCCAGCCCCTCCTCCCACCCCAGCATCCATCACCCCGGGCTTTGATGACACTTCAACTTCTCCTTCTCCCACTCCTGATAGCCTAGCTATTGAAACACCCACCCCAGCCCTCCGCACCAAGGTGGCACAGTCGGTTCCAGCCTCTTCTACCATTGTGGTAATGCAAACAATGAAACCCGCCCCCTTGAAAGTAGCAATACAACCTGCCACCCCAACCGCCAGCTCCCCAACCCCAAGCAGCAGCACCACCGACAGCCTAGCTCTCCAGGATTCCAGCTCTGACCTCAGCCACAGCCTTGATGACTCAGATGCTGACCTAGACCAGACTGGCTCCTACTGCAGCACCCTCACCAGCAGCACAGTGAGCGGCTCTGTGCGGGTCCAGCCCGCTACAAAAAGCTCCAGCAGCAGGATGGAGGAATCAGAGATGTCGAGCAGCACGGCTACCAAATTAAATAAAGAGGTGACCTCAACCAGCAGCTCTAGGTCTGAGATGGAGTCGGCCCTCAACCTGAAACTGGATGAAGTTGAGAACAACAGACACAGTGCAATGGGTAAATAACAGACACTCAAGACAGCATGTCTAAAAATCCAGCACATGTCATTGAACAACAACTGATATTCCAAAACTGCAGTTCAGATGCAACAAATTTTGAAAAAATAGTGTGAAATGTATTTTTAATCCTTTAAAATTGTGCTCTCTGAAAACATACTAGAATTATTTTCCCTTTTAGTGATAACATCCCTCATTTGGCAGACTCCTTCTTCACAAACTAAAGACACCAACACTATTATTTTCTTAAACAGAGTATTAGTAGTAATAAAGGAAACACAACACCACAGGCAACAAAGCTGTAATGAGATCTACAGGTACCTGCTGTTTTCATACCTGCCATATATCATTCTTTGTTTTCACATGTTACTTTTGTGAACTCAATTTCTTTTAGTTAAACCAACTGACATGTCACATCTTCACATCGTGGTAAACAAAACATTTACATTCATCAAAGAAAATGAACTTGGCTGTTGATCACTGCACTCTTGACAGTGATGGTAAACACACTCTCTGTATGTTAAGGAAGTGAGACAGTCAGAAGTTGCCTGTAGAGGTTTTCTGGCTTAGAAAGTGACTGAATGTCTGCCCTGGAGAACTGAGCTGTCACACTGCAGCAACGTCTGAAACTTAAACTGTCAAGAATGACGTACATAACCTATGTGTGTGTCTGTGTGTGTGTCTGTGTGTGTGTGTGTGTGTGTGTGTGTGTGTGTGTGTGTGTGTGTGTGTGTGTGTGTGTGTGTGTGTGTGTGTGTGTGTGTGTGTGTGTGTGTGTGTGTCTGTGTGTGTGTGTGTGTGTGTCTGTGTGTGCGTGTGTGTCTGTGTGTGTGTGTGTGTGTGTGTGTCTGTGTGTGTGTGTGTGTGTCTGTGTGTGTGTGTGTGTGCGCGCGTGCCTGCGTGCGTGCATGTGTGTGCGTGGATGCATGCTTCATGGCTAAATTACAGGAACTAGTGGAGCTGGTTTTCATCATAGCTCATGAGACAATACAGTCCTTGTCTCTTGCCTATGCTTATCAATCCCTCGCGCTCTTATCTTTCTCTCTCTCTCTCCCTCTCTCTTTCTCTATCCCTCTCTTTATCTTTATCCCTCTATTATTTCTTTTTTTGCCCCTCACACAAACCTTCAAAGCTGGCAGATATAAAGTCAGACAGATCCATCACAGATTTAAACAGGCTCTACATGAACTTTCGCTGGCCCTCCTATTGATCTTTATATAACCTAGATCTTTCTCTGTAGCAAAGTGAGATTGCAGCAGAGGGCTGTCGTGTCTGACAGGGGCAGAGATGAGAGAGCTGCAGACCTCAGAAAAGGGATGAGAAAGGTGAGAGTAGCAGAATGAAGTTCAGAGAAAGGAGCATGGGAAGGTTTTGGCAGCGGGATGACAGGGTAGTGAGGTAGAAACAAGGGGACTCGGGGGGGTTTAAGGAGTGGAGGATGACGGACAGGCAGATGAAAGCAAGAGAAAAGATGAAGTATGAGGAGGTTTGTGCATTAGACAGGATGGAACAGACAGAACGAGGATCATTAATAAATTTATAGATCTTGCTACTTCTTTTTCTCTATCCTGACACTCTGCTGACAGTGCATCACCTTCTCTCTTCTCTTTGGCTTTGACTCTTCCTTTTCTCAGTCTTCCTTTTGTTCCCCTATACTATGTGTTAGAAAGTATTCACTTTAAAATGTGTATTTGTACAAAAATAGTTTTATTCCCAAAACCACATTCTCTAAAAAACATTTTTTTGTCCTACAGACAACCTCAACATCAACTTTTCAACTTTTCACATTGACTGTGAAATATTTTTCATTGCAGCCTGACAACTGCACGTATACATGAACAGTACATATTTGGAAGTGAATGAATAGCTGGTATACACGTTAGGGCTAGACAACTACACCCTGCGCACAGTATATGGTGGTGCCCTCGTGCTTGTATAGGCAGAGGCAGAAATGTACACACTCTTTCATTTATGTAGGTTTGATTTAGTCTTTCATCTTTCTAGGTTTAGTTTGGCCTTTCATTTTACGCAAAATTGATGTGTATGTCAAACTGTAAACTGTTTGTCATTTGCTCTGGGAAGCTCTGTGATAAAGATCTCTAATTCTAAATAAACAGAGGTGGAGCTGCAACAGTGTAGTACAGGGTTACGCTAGTATTTTTTTCTTAAATCGTAGTTTTACACTCGCTTCTTTTAGCGCCTGATATCAGGGTAATATAATAGCTCATATCTTCAAATTACATGGTGCTGTAGAAGCATAAAATGTCTGTGAGTAAGCCTGTGTATTCATGGTGTGTTGATAGTGTGTGTGCTGCGCATTAGGCACATTATGTCAGTGTTTACATCAGTCTGAATTCAAAGCTTGAGCTTAGTTGAAAAACAGAACAGAGAACAACAAAGCTTTAGTAGTTAAATTAAAAGCATGCACATGTAGAATGTGGATTTCTTCCTCTACAACTTCATGTTGAAGTGAAACACTGTTATACCACTGTGGAGGCATCAGTGCAGCTCTGTGCAGTGCAATAACTAAATACAGAAGGAGAATTCAACCATTTTAACCTCTGTGTCTGTGTGTGTGTGTGTGTGTATGTGTGTGTGGGTGTCTGTGTGTCTGTGTGTCTGTGTCTGTGTGTGTGTGTGTTTGTCTGTGTGTGTGTGTGTGTGTGTGTGTGTGTCTGTGTGTGTGTGTGTGTGTGTGTGTGTGTCTGTGTGTGTGTGTGTGTGTGTGTGTGTGTTTGTGTGTGTGTGTGCTCCAGAGGCTGTCAAGGTTGTGATGGTGTAGTTTATCATCTCAGCTCTGCCTGCTGTTTCAGTTCCCTCCTGTTGTCGTCAACAGAGTAAACAGATAAAGTAGCACATCGACAGCACCTGCTGACTAAGACGCAGCACACTGATGCATCACAGGCCTTAGAGGGAAATTTAGCTAGCTGTATATCAGCTGCACTGTTTTACAGTAATTGTGTTTTTGCAACTACATCCCAATATGTTATCCAGATTGATTTTGTCCCATTTGTCAGTCCATACTTCTGTCAGCATCACCTGTCTCCTGTGCTTTATGTATCATGGTCTTCACATATCACACGTCGGCAGCTAAGAAATAAAACAAATAGTTCCACTCCTTTTACATATTTATTTTTAACTGGGAATTTTACAACACACAGGATTTATATAAAGTGGAAGGACGCTGCAAACTGGCTGTTTTCTTAAAACTTCAGCTGATATTCTACAGACTTTTTTGCTAAGGTAGGGCCCTCTACTATAAGTAAACTGTGAAAATCCACTGGAGCAATAGTGAAAACCTACAAATGAGTGAACTGTAAACACTGGAGTAACTGTACTTTAACAGCGATAACCTCCATGGTTCAGTAGACAAAGAAATGAGTTCTGCCCACAGAAACTCAAATTTCATAACCAGAAAATCCAAGGATAAAGAAGTGTAGCACAGAAACACAGCAGCCAAGTGTTAAATAAATAAAGAATAGAATAGAAGAATAGAATAAATAAAAGACAAAGATCTTGATGTTTACATAATGTTTTCTCTGCTACTTTCAGTTTGATAAGAAGTTTGCATGTGAGATGTTTGTTCCCCGTGACCATCAGTGCCTGCCCTGCCTGCATGTTGTTTTTCCTCTAGGAGCCTCTGATCAACCAGCGCCACCTAAACCTCGTCGTTCCCTGGCTCAGGGACCACCACAGCTTGTCCTACCCCCCACTCCATCCACTCCTCCCCCGCCCTCCCCTCCCATTGAGCCCATAGAAAGTGACTCCCCAGAGAGTCCCATGGAGATGGAGGAAGCAGCTCCCCAGTGTAGGTTCCAGATGGACTGCGTCTCCCTTTCCTTCACTCTTGGTCTTTCTTTTTCTTTCCTAGAAGCTGCACCCCTGGTTCTCTGACTTTTACTTGATTTGTTTAAATTTGAGTTTGTATCTTTGCAACTGTCCTTTATGTATGTACTGTAAATACTGCACTCTGTCTTCACATGCTATCCATCTCTCAATCAGCGACCCCGGGCAGCTGAGTTGTTAAGTGAGACCCAGTCCCTGTGAGGTCAAGGTGCTTCATATCTATAAATGTCAACCTGTAAGCCCTGTTATTTCTTCTGGGCCCAGAGGTCAGGGCTAGGGTCAACACCAATCAACTGGAGTGCCTTTTATGTTGCATCTATACAGTAGATGGGAGTGTATTAGATGTATAATAGAAGAGATGCTGAACCATATGTAAGCTACCGTCTCTCTCTGAAGGGGTTCTTACTTTTGTATGTTGTACTCAGTTTCTTTCTTTACCTTTAGGATTTTCTCTGGATGCTGTTTTGATCACCATTTCCACCAAGTGCAGTGTTCATGATCTACCCATCTCAAATCACATCTGTTCTTTTCTTTACTCCCCTCCCTGCACCCTCTTTTGTAGTGTACTGCTGTGGGCCTGTGCGTCTGCGCTCCAAACACTCCTGAAGTCTCTCTCTGGCTCGACCCTTCCTTTGTTCACCAATCCTTCAGTTCCCGTTGCCTCTTCTTCTGCTTCACCCTTCTCCTTTCTACTGGACATCCCTCTGACATTCACCATCCTACTGTCACTCTTTTAAGAAATGTTCTACTGTTTCTTCTCTCCTCTTGTATTCGTTGTGACAATCTCAGTTCTATCATTATTTTAATTGTCTCATTTTTATGACTTGCTTTCACTTGGTGTCACTCGCAGAAGCCGCTTCGCAGCAACTTCATTGCATCTGTTCTTGTGATGGTTTGGATTTGATCCTGTTGAGGACAGAAGATGCCGCAAGTGAAAGCAAGTCATGCTCTCCAATGTTGCTCTTAAAACTATCCTTTTTTGTGTTTGATTTCTTCTTTTTTTCTACAAATGTATGTATATACTTTTGTTGGTTTTGCATTTCAACTTAATCTGCTAGTTGTCACTGATTATGCATGAGATCAGGGCTGAGTTAAAAGTGGACACGCAGAATGTGGTCAGGAGACTATACAGTGACAGATGAGCTAAACCCTGAACGTATCAGTTACAATGTGATTGATGAGTGACAGGCTGGAATGAGGTTATGAGGTGAGGCCATGCAGTATCTATCAGCCAATATTTTGGTGATGTGATATCTGCAGATCAATAGTCGGACAGCGTATGTTTCTCTCTGTGTGCCTGGTGTTGGGGATTATATTAGAAACATGAGACCTGAATGCATGCTGCCTTTGGCAATAATATGGAAAGGGTGATCTGTCAATGACATGTTGCTTATAGGTGGTAGTGGCTCATGTATTTTAAAGACAAGTATTTAAAATAAAAGACCTGCTCCCAAGGAAACTCATAACAGTGGACATTGAAAAGAGATTGACACGACACACTGACTTGTCTGTGACTGTCATGGCTTATAGCTGCATGAATACTTTACAGCTTGTTTTTGAAATGATGGGTAGAGATCCAAAATGACCCTTCTGTCGTGACGTTCGATGTGGGCGAAAAAAAGGGTTCATTGTTTGGGGTTCAGAGCAAAACTAAGTATATCATTTGGATCTTTATCTGAAAAACCGCAAGAAACGTGGCCTTACGTGAAGACTGCTTCATAGAAAAATTACGCGTTTACAATTTTGAGCACTACATTATTATTATTTATATGTTTTAAAAAATGCTAACTATTCTTTTTGACTGGTGAACATGTCAAAGAAATGGAGCCCTTGTTTTCATCATATGACTCGTTCTGAACTGTGTGAATGCAGTTATTGTGGTGTCACAGAATCAAATTGTTTTTCAGTAAAGTAGGATTTTACATTTTTGCGAAGAACACCCTTCATTTTTATGTCTGATTAACAATGTACCAGGCAGATCCGATTAAAAAGGTTATTCAGTGAAAGTAATTACATTTTTATGTAAAATATCATTTATCCGCTGAGTCACTGAATTGTGATGCAAATGTGTAGCCTAGTAAGTGTGTGTGAGCTTATTAAGCCTGTAGAGTTATGCTCATGAACATACACTCATCTGTGTTGCGATTGAAAATCAAAATATTTGTTTGAAAGACATTTTTCAATTAAACAGTTGAAGACTGGATCAAGATGGAAGGGTTTTTGTTTTTGGGTTGTGCATGGATTGGTGCATGGTCAGATTTTGATAAGTAACACGTCACAGTATTGATTTGCTTGGGAATGGAGACACCTTTTGTTTGACTTTAACAGTCATGTGCCTAAGGTCACATTGAGTTGGAGGTTTGAGAACAACAGTGTGTTTGGATGTTTACTTGTGTGTTTGTAACGCAAGCATACAGTACACTTGTGTAAACCCATGAGAACATTACACAGTGTGTATACGTGCACTTGTCTGTGTGTGTGTGTGTGTGTGTGTGAGGATTGTGGCTGTAGCTGGCATGACTAAGCTGTTGCTGGGAAGGCGCTGGGAGGACAGCCCTGTGAGTCATCACCACATCTCCTGGAACTGACTGTTCTCTCCACACCATTAGGACCAGGTCCAAAACTGACAGGCCCAGTACACACACACACACACACACACACACACACACACACACACACACACACACACACACACACACACACACACACACCTGGTATCACTAACAAGGTCACTCTCTGTTAAACTCATTTTAAAGAATCCCCTGTTGAGTTCTCAGTGCTGTGCATGCTGGCCAGGCCACTGAAACCTTAAAAAAAATGGTGCATTGATTTTTATTCTCTTGGCCTAGAGTTCAATGAGATCAGTGACTGACTAAATAACTTCTCCAAAAGCCACAGCACTGACCAGAGCATGACTACTAAAGAGATGAGAGGGTATGAAGCAATACTCTCTCTGTGGAATCTAAAACAGTACTGTAAAAATCTAATTAAAAGGGTTTGTTTACAGTAAGTCCACCCACATATCATTAAAGCTGTTTTATCAAGCCACAGGTGGTTGTGCTCTGGGCTTGTGTTTGTATATTTGGCTTGTGTTTTCTGGTTTGTGTGTGTGCGTGGTGTCAGAATGAATGTTGAAACTAACGTAAATACTTCCTCTGTTTTCTTTTTTTTCCTCTTCTCTTGCTCCTCATGTTCACTCTGCATCCTGTGCTTCTTTTCAAACAAATGTCCTCGTGATTTGTTGTGTTGTTTTCCTCAGTATTAATCTTCCTAGGTATCAAAAGTCTTTAAGGGTTTGTGGATTTGAGAAAACGAAAAAAAGGTGGAAGCGTTTGTATTTTTTAACATAATGCACGGCATGAGTAAAAAAAAACAGACGCCTCTGTGATGTCTTATTTGACAAATGTAATTCTCTATCCCAATGCAAACCCATTCACAGTTGTTTATTTTTAACAACCTTTTTATTTGGTTGTTGAAATTGATTGTTGCTAACAGCTACTCACAGTTTTAAAAGAGAGTGATAACACCTAATACTGATGCTAAGATCTTCCTCTGTCCTCTACCAGCCTGGCTCCACTCCATGGGGAGCTCTGCAGCCAGTGGCCAGAAACCAGAAACTGAAACACCTGAGGAGGAAACTGTGTCCCTGGGCAGCAGCAGTGGTGGCAGCAGCCTGCCTGACCAGGGTTACGCCGCCTCAGAGGGTATGGCAGACGGCGAGGACTCGGGCATGGTCAGCTCTCCATCTGACACCCAGCCCACATCCCCGGATGGGAGTTTGTCTTTGGATGGAAGTAGCGGAGGCGGAGGAGAGAAACTGCTGGGACCAGTACGGGACAATTCCAGCGATAGTGACGAGGGATGTGCCACCTGGGGATCAAGACACAGGTAGAGAGACAGTCATACAAAGCTGAGATTGATGACACATTGAGGAAGTGTGATTGTGGGTGGAAAACAAGAGTTAGGGAGGAAAGTAAAGAATGTTAAGGATACTCTATTTGAATTTACATAATTTATGATTTATTTGTCCAACAAGATAATAAAGGCCTCATTCAGGATGGTGAGGCACATTAATGCATGGCTGCTTTGGCCTCAAGAGAAAAGTCTCTGCCTTAGTCAGTCATCTGTCTGGGATAATGCATGTGATATTCACTTTGCTGTCGACTTGAGGCCAGCCCAACTGCTGATAAGTAAAACCTGCATTAAAATCTTCAACTGGATTCTTGCTTTAGTTTTACACCTGTATTTTCCCCTGAAGAGTGAACCATCACTCTTTCAAGTAACTTTTAAAGTCCCCACAGTTTTCAACTGTGCTAGCAGTAATAACCAAGAGCAGTTCTTACCATGTGTTATATTTGAGTTGTAGCCAAAGGTGGCACCCTCAACTTTTAGTGCTGGGCTTTCATAGTTATGGTTCTAGGCTCTTATTCAAAGGCCTTCGTGGAAAATGAATGCTGCCCCAGATCACTTTTCGCCTTTTAAGTTGTTGTGAAATGTGTATGGTAATGTGCCCAGACCAAGGATCTTGGATCGATGCTCTCACTGAGAGAAACTTTATGAATCCGGGGTCTGGCCTGATGCTGCTGGCTCCTCAGTATTCCAGGAAAGCACTATAACCTTGTTTTCTCAGAATCGTTGAGGAAAAGAGCACCAGTCCAAGTCTCTTAGAAGACAAATTCTGTTTGGTTTGGCCTCCTTGTTGCAATTTGTTATGGCTAATACACCACTAACTCATGAGAATGCTCTGCTGAACCCTTGAAGAGAGTGAAGGAAGTTTGAACTGTGGTAATAATATCTTTACTGCTACATGTTTCAAAGCCAGCAGGCTCCAATAAAAATAAAATTCAGCTTTGAACAAGCACAAAATATTTAAAACTCACACCCTTCTTTTTTTTCTTTCTCCTACTACTGAACTGCATTTACCCTTTTGGTTTCTGAGGCATATTAGTAACGGGAAGGGTGCTGGATGTAACACCAGCATTCAAATAAGCGATTCAGCTTAAACAGCTGTTTGGTGGTAGCTGGGTGACTGTTAATAAAAATCATGGAGTCATACAGAGTGCTGTATTATGGCCGGCCCTATGTGCTGATCTGTTTTTGCATGTGATACGGGACTTGTTATGTTACGGGCTGTTATGTGTTTTTACATGTGTATATTTGTGGATGTCTTTTTGACACATATTTTTGTGCACCGTCCTCAGGCACAATGACATCAGTTCACAGGCAAAGTCAGGCAGGTTCAAAGACAGCTATGAAGACCCAGAGCTCACAGCCCAGCTCCATCAGACTTTGGCAGACTTTGAAGCCAACCTTGCAGGTGAGGGAGGCATGCCATAGATTACAGTTCACTTATGATCTTACACTGGATTTGTGTTTCTTGTGTCGTGTGGTTGTTGAACAAATTACAAATCCATATAAAAATGTGCCACAAGTGACAAAGTATTATGTATTAACATTTTGATCTGCTCCCCTTTTCCAGACCACATTGATATTGTCTCAGTGAAGGAGACTCCCTATACCATGTCCACAGACAGTAATGAGGTGCCAGTGTCCGTAGTGGACATGGATGTGCCAGTCACAGCCATAGATGAAGTGCTGGAAGACTATGAAAGTAACGTTGTAGAAAATGAGGCAAAGGCACTGATGAGGACTGAGTCAGCTGGCAGCAAAGGTAAGAAGAACAATAGATTTAGTGCTTTAGATATTTTTAATTAATTCCACTAATGTATGCTTTGTTTTCTTCCTCATTGGTATCATTACAACAGAGTTAAAATCCTGTCATCTTTTTTTATATATTAAATTGACTTTTTCTCACCTTTTCTTCTCACAGGTCCAGATTTTTGTCACCAGTCCAGCACCAAGCCACAGAACAAAAACAACAATGCTTGTACAGCTGCTGACAGTAATAAAAGCAGCAGTGCAAATACTAAGCAGCCGTCTCAACCTGAACAGCACAGGGAGTCACTGGAGAACAAGTCTATAGGTGATGAAAAGAGAGAAAAGATAACAGAGACAAAAATTAAAGAGATGAGTGTCACTCAGACCGAGAGTGTTAAAGAGGAGAAGCAAAGAACAACATCAGCAGTGAAATCTAATGCCGACATGCAGAAACAGAGCAAAAGCACTGAGATCAAATCTGATCCTGTAAAAAACAACGCTCAATCTTTTCAAGAGAAGAAACCTGTTCTACCACCAACCAGTCAGAGATCAGTGTCTGCAGAAAGAGTTGAGGAAGGGCACAGAGTTTACCAAAATAACTCCAGCTCCAATACTTCCCACGGTAAAATCACTCGCAACGTCACATCACGGTTCGGTATGAAAACGTTCACTGTGGTTCCTCCCAAACCTTCTGCCGTACATGCTGCTACAGGAGATCCAGCCGTCAAATTTATCGCAGGCGCCATTACGATTGACGATCAAGGAAACATGGTGAAAGGTATCTCCCGGAACAAAGTTGGTGGTTCATCAGAGTCAGGGATTAATTGCGGCGAGGGGTCTCCTCTTCATGGAAGAGCCAAACTTTTTTGGAGCTCAAATGAGAGACAAGAAAGTCCTGTGCACCACAGCAAAGGTCAGATTAATAAGGCGAAGGAGAACATGGATGGCCTGAGAAATACTCCCACTGTAATTTCAGAAACTCCATTGAAGACCAGTAACTCTGAATACCTGAAAACAACACAAAGTATTATGTATAAACCTGCAGAGAGAGCCCAGCCTAAAGAGACAGTTAAAGAAAAAGCTAAAGAACCAGTGACAGACATCCATGTTGCAAAGGAGGAGCGGGTGGAGGTAGAGAGCAAGATTTCAGTGTCAACAAACATTCAGCAGCCAAGCTGTAAACCTGCCCTTTCCCCTCCACTCCTTCCAGACCTGAAAAGAGACCTGTCCTTCCTCAAACCATCCAGGCGAACCTCAAGCCAGTACGTGGCATCTGCCATCACTAAATACGCCCCAAAAACCTCAGATAAACCCAACTCCATCTCTAAAGTCGCTGACTCCTCTGCCTCTGTGAAAACACAGACTGTTGGCTTCCAGAGATCTGGTCGGTCCATACAAGTGAATCCACACCCATCTTCCCAGTCCTCTTTGGCAGATAATAAGGAGAATGACTCTGCTTCTAAACCCAACCCTTCTGGTCCTAAGAGGTTAATGAGCTGTCCAGAGTATGTGTCAGATAGCCAGAGAGATTTTGGTGAAGCGAGACCAGACAGTGTTGGATCGACCAAAGGAAGCACTTCTACGCTGGAAACAGAAACAGCCAAGAATAAGCACATTCAGTCTAGTGGCCCTGTCCAGATAAATGTGACCGCCAGCAATGACAGAGACGCTATTAAACAGATTTGGCCCAGAAGCTCCAACCCTGCACAAAGCAGTCCTCTACACTCATCTGCCAAACCACCCACAGCCCCAAAGACCATATCCCAAGGCCGGACAAATGTAAGTAAAACCTGGATTATAAAAATTGCATGTTATGGGTCTCTTGAAAAATAAATACTATGAAGAATTTTAACAGTAAAATTGTTCCTGTAAATTACACTGTACTAAATACTCCACATCTTGTCTTCAGAACACAAGGGACATGACGAAGGCAGCCACTCATCTCACACCTGATGTGAGACCACAACCTTCTGTCACAGTATCAGACCGCGGTGATGTACCACAGCCGGTGACAGTGTTTGGGCCACTTAAGAAGTTCAGACCGGTGATCTGTAGATCTGTGGAGAAAGAGACATCTCTGCACAGCAGCCTGATGGACGCAATCCAGACAGGAGGAGGCAGGGACAGGCTGAAGAAGGTGAGATCAAGATAAGCATCATGCAGTATGTGGATGGATGGATGGATGGAGAACCATGGGGCAGTGATAGTGACTACCAGTGATAGAAATATACACTACATTCTTAATTTTCTCAAGAATATTATTGCATTTGCTGCTGTTGGCTGGAAGACAAGAAGGGGATTTTGATTTTTCTCTTTTTATTTCTTTCCTTTCATTATTAGATATACAATTCTGGTCCCAGTAACATGAAGAAAGCATCTTATGTTGAGGAGGAGAACGAGAGGTCTGCTCTTCTGGCGGCCATTAGAGCCCAAAGCAACTCCAGCAGGCTGAGGAAGGTAAGATACTTGTATCGTCTGTCAATATCAAGGGGCCTTGCAGGGAAAAAAAACTTGCTTGAATGGCTCCTTGAATGTATTCACATTTATTCTCAAATAAATGTTAATTCATTACTGATTAGGTAAATTTTTTCCAATACTTTGGTTTATGACCAAATTCCTGCATAATCAACAACATTCCCGTTAGTTTTGGCTGCACTTCGTTTTTATTGTTAATGTCAGAACGCACATAATGCAACATAAACATTATACCTACGAAACATCAGCATGTCAGCATCATCACAGAGCCAACAGCGTGACTGTATACTCTTTGTCTTGTTGCACTTTAAAGAGAACAAACACATTTACTTATTGCAGTTGCATGGCATGAGGAGTATGTAAAAGGAAATGTGAATGTCTCTCTCATCACTTTGTGTTGTTAGCTAGTTAGCAGTTCACAAATTCATGCATGAACCAAGTTATGCAAGCATGGGTGTCTATTTCCATCCCTCTGTGTGGACTGAGAGTTGTGGTTTGCTGTCACATAAGGACCCATGTGGAATGAAAGGGGGCAGGAAACGTGCTGCTGTAGCTGAAACATCTGCGGTTCTATTCTGGAGGTTCCTTACCAGAAGTGGAATCTCTGGAATGCTGCATGACTAAATTAGTCTCTTAAACGTTGTGCTTCTCAAAAAAAAAAATTGCATAAATAAATAAAACTAAATACCCCTGTACAATGGAATTACAAAATAAATAAGATAAAATCATATAAATGTGAATGTGTATAAACGAGATTAGAGCAGAAAAGAATTTGTTTGAACAAAGTATCTCTGTATGTGCAAGTCAGAGGTTGACGATAGATGCACTTGTGTGTGAGTGTGAGTTCAGTTACACATTCTGTATGAGCAGCTGGCTTCCCGCCTATGTTTATGTGTCTAGAGTTACCATTATCTCACTCCTTTGTGTGTTGCAGACCAAATCTGAAGCTGCAGATGAGCTTGAGAAGTTCAGGAAGGTGGTCTCTGAGGAGGAGAGAAATGCACATCCCCCCTCCTCTCCCTCTCCTCCCTCTGTGACTTCCCCTTCCACTTCACCTCCTGTCTTTACCCCACCACCACCGCCACCACCAGCGCCCACGGCCGCACCTCCACCTCCTCCCCCTGTCTTTCCCCAGGGTAAGCCTAGCGCTGCGGCACATCCAAGTGCTAACGCCCCCGCGAACCCTGCCTTGGCCAGGGAGGCTATGCTGGAGGCCATTCGCTCTGGATCAGCTGCTGAGAGGCTGAAAAAGGTACAAATACAGAAAAATACATTATCTATCTACACCACAGAGTGAAATTTGTTACAGAAGTCACAACACCATTGACACATGTCCCATCGGACAAAGATAGCATAAGCAGATGAAAATTTAGCATTAGCACAGCATGTATTGAATATCTTTTTTGTTTTTTTTATTGAGTGTTGGGGCATAAAACAGCATCATTTCACCCAGAGAGACTGTCATCAAAGAGGAGAGGAAGGGAACAAAAGAGAGACAGACATGAAAACAGGCAGAGACGGAACAGATAGAGGCAATGAAGCTAGAGGGAGCAACAGAAAAATATATGATTTGAACCAGTTCCTCTTTCTTCCCATATCTTAGACTCATCCTAGTGTTAGGATGAGGACAATAATCAGAAAATTGTTCAACACATCTTTTTCAGATCTGCTGAGGTACAAAATTAACTAATAAGTTTAGGCATTTTTGTCTTTTTGTCTGTTTGTAGACTCCACACAACCACAGAACTTGTTTTTTTTCTGCCTGCAAGCAATGAACTATTCTATACTAACACCAAAGTGGAGAAATACAAACATGACATCTTGTGTTTATTTTAACCAGGTTGCTGTGCCCACAAAGACAGTTCAAGTGAATGGGAGACTGGGAACAATCCAAGCAACCTCCTCAGCCCTCACCCAGCAATAAGAGGGAAGCCCACATCACCGCAACCAGGAATAATTGATCAAATTCCATTTTGGTTTTCCGCTTTTTGCCATTGTGCTTTTGCAGCAGACGCTGAGTGAATGTTATTTGAACTTCACATCTCTCACTATCAGTCCGGGGCCTTAGGCTTAAACTATTGCAGTTTTTAAAGGAACAGTAATGCAGGGAGACTGTTATTTTCACTTATATTATCTACTTATATGTTTTTTATATAAAAGCGGAATGATTTAAACATTTCCTCTTGCAAAAGGAATGTTACTTTGTTAGCCAAACACCTGCAACATCTGTCTGATAAAGGTGTGATAGGTGAAAGGTTTGCAGTTAATTCCATCCATGATATCAGATGTTTCAGCTCCTAACATAAGAATAGCTTACTGGAACATGTTTGTGTTCAGTTCATCTTTATAACATAGTGTTGCTCCTAAACATATCTTGCCACCTGTACTTGAATTTAGTAGTTTTAACTGGAATGTTGTAAAAATGTGTGCCAATGAAAGAAAATTTAAATAGTTTATGCTACTTTCATTTTTTTTTTTTTTGTTCTGATCTTTTTTTATTTGCTTTTACCACAGAAAGTCATGGATGCCTTATACTGTTGCTCAGTGTTACGTATATGATGTTTGCTGTATAAATTCTATGAGGGGTGCAATAAGTTGGATCTGACAATGTTTCCAGATTCAGTCAATTTAATATTTGTTTAACCAATGAAGATTATTGAAATCTTAAATACCCTTAAGAAAACAATGATTAGATCCATTGGAAATGTTTTAAATATATAGATCTGGTCCATGATGCCAACTGCTACAGTTCCTGGCTCTGAGGAGTAAGATGGTAAAGACTGACTAGTGCCTGTTAGATCATTACTATGCTCCTGTTTTGGCGTCTAACCTTAATTTGTGCTGCTGTTTATAATCTAAAGACATTGTCAAATCTGGTCAGTACCCTGTAGAAATGCATATTTGTACAGGTGCAATATGATTGACCATGCCTTTTTATGTTTGACATATATTACATATTAAGATGAACCTTTCCTTTCATTGACATCTCAACACTTTAGAAGCATTATTATTTAAGTATATCAATGATGGATGCCACAATGAGCAAAGAGATTAGTTTATTAATGGCTATGTAACACAAAAAAGCAGTTGTAGGGAAGCAGAGGTTTAGGTTTAGGTCCTTATTCTGTGGAGAGAGGACCCCTGTATTAAATGTTATAGTTATGGATAAAGTAGGATGTTCACGCTAGAATGATACAAACCTATAGCATCCATATTCAGGTGTAAATGCTTGCTGCTGTGTATTGTGACTAAAGGGAGTTGCATTTAGTTTTATAGAGATTTATTTTAATTTATGCTCACTTTCAACACTCAAAAAAAATAATTTTACTGTTGTATGTTTTATCTTGAGAGTGAAAACCTTAAGAGCTTTTCTATTTTTACTTTCTCTAACTAGAAAGAGTTATTTCATTTCTGCTAGTAGATGGTTTCATCTACACACTATAGCCTACAGCACATTGTAGCACTGTATATTTTGTAAACTGAAGAAAGATCATCGCTGTGATAGATTTGATTTAAAACTTTGATAGAAAGCTATTCCACCGGTAGCATGAAAATTTTATAAGCTATTGCTTTTTAAGTTTTAATTGCACATTGTTTTTTCAGAAGGTTGCACAGTTATTTTTGTCTACCTAATTTTTGATTCAATAAATAATTTTGTAATCAAGAGGAAAATGACTTGCTGCTGACATTTTTTTTCTTTCTCTGTTGAAATGATACAGATCATAAAGTGTCATTTTCCCCCTCAAATAGCAAAGTATGAACCTTGCCCTGGAAAGCATCACTCTAATGTGCCTGTGCCATTCCCAGCACTGTGGTTGCCTGTAGACTGTGGTCATCCTGCTGTCCTTATGAAATATATTGTAACCTCCCTCTCTCTGCCACACCACAGATGAGCTACTATTCCGGGCAGCAGTTCATCGCCCTGACTCATCACTATGTGGTCACACAAAATGACTCTCAGAACTTGAACCTAACCTGCATTCCTGATTCCTGAAACACTAGTCACTGGGCCCCCCTGCCCTCCTCCCCAAAGCAACTGAATGATGCAAATTAGTTGCAAAATCACATTGAAATACACAATACAGATGCACATATTGGCAAATAAATCAAACACACAGCCAAGACAACGCAGGAGTGGCTTAGGGACAACTCTGTGAATGTCCTTGAGTGGCCCAGCAAGAGCCCTGACTTAAACCCAATCGAACATCTCTGGAGAGACCTGAAAAATGGCTGTCCTCCGACAGTCCCCCTACAACCTGACGGAGCTTGAGAGGATCTGCAGAGAAGGATGGCAGAAAATCCCCAAATCCAGGTGTTCAAAGCTCGTTGCGTCAGACCCAAGAAGACTTGAGGCTTTAATTACTTTCACCTAAGAGTAAACCGTCTGAATACTTATGTCAGTGTGATATCTCAGTTCTTTAATACATTTGCAAAAGATTTTAAAATTCTGTTTTTGCCTTCTCATTATGGGATATTGAGTATAGATTTAGGGAAAGAATTAATGTTTTCAATTTTAGCATAAGTCTGCAACCAAACAAGATATGAAAAAAAAAGTGAAGGGGTCTGAATACTTTCTGAACGCTCTGTAAGTCAAATAGTGCAGAAGGGTAATCTTGTCTGTGTTGGCCAGAGAGAGCTGTAAATTCCTGCAGGGACCACAGGCTCTCTTGCGGGTCAAAATTCATGCTCATTCTACAGCCATTCTAATCTGCTTTACAAATCACTGAAGGATGTGTACGGGTGGGTGGATGTCTCTGTGTGTGTGTGGGTGGGTGTGAATGATATTTTTGTTGTGTACGTGTGTTTGAGCTTGTGCCTGTGTTACAGTTCCAAACCATTTTAACCATCCTGCCAACGTAAACAACCCCTGAATCAAGAGTTACCAGAAGATCACGCCACATAATACAACAGAAATAAATTCAGTTAGGTTTGGCTGTGGTTATGCCTTCACCGACCTTATTGGTTTGTTTGTGTTTGTTGCCATAACAGTTTCAAATGAAGGCCGGAGGCAGGGAATGCTCCATGTCGCTATGTCAATCACTATGTTGACTAATAAAATTGAGATTATGTAATCATATATTTCAGATCACATCAGCAACTTTCAATAGCTTGTTTAGATTCAGGTGTGAGAAGGAATATGCCAATAGTCACGTCTTGCAGAATATGTTTATATCTTTTTTTAACTCGATAAATTATGAGCAGTAAATAGTATAAAGTGTTGACTTCCCTCTGTGGCAGCACTAAAAGCATATTCATCCATAGTCCTGTGATAGACTTTAATGAAAGCCATTCACCAACTGCCTCGACTTGTATTAGATAGCTTTGTTAGCCCTGACGTCCCGACTTATGAGTGATGGACACAGTGACACAGACTATCAGCAGGGGTTTATGTTGACTTTGTTTTCTGATGTCGGGCAGTCTACTATGTATCTGATCAATCAATTTGAACAAAAGATCTGTGTGATGCTGAATGTCTGATGAGGTGAAATCAACATAATGTGTCTCATAGAAAGAATGCTTTGTTGCATGGTGGCACCCTGAATATGAGTGACATGATGTGTGTTTGTTTGTAAGTATGTGTGTGATGAAATGGTTGCAATGGCACTATGAGTGTGTATTTACACACACTGAGGGGACACAGTGTGAGCCTCCTGTGGTCCTGATCCAGACACATAGGCACACACACACGCACAGCTTAGGACTGATGACCTTTTCCACTTCAGACTCCCACGGTGTGTTCCCATCACTTGAACTAATCAAAGTCTGAACTATCCCAGGCACTATGAAAAATGAACTGAGCGCTGGGTTATCCCTGGTGACACTGAAGCCGGAGGCAGAGCTTTATCTGACAGTGCTGTGGGGTTCACTTCGAGTCATTACCTTTCACTCACTCTTCCTACTGTAAATATTTTACACTAGTTAGCGGTCTAAACTGCAATAACACATGAGCTGAATGTATACCTCCTGATGTTGCCCTCAGCCATATAAACATCAGTTGGTCTTATGCAATACACTTACAAGGCTCAGGGGGATAAAAACACAACCTTGGCAGGAAGGCAATACTGGTGCAATGAGATTTGACCCCCAGTTGTGCAATATACATACCTCACAGCTACTACTGTTTTAACTCCTGATTGTGCTTGTCAGAGCAGGGCTTTTAATTAAAAGAGGAGTGTTGTCCTTAACTTTAGGTTCATGGTGTAGATATCCTTCCCCTGTGAACATTTTGGTCCAAAAAAGTATTTTTTTAAAGGAATAACTTGTAACATGGACATATAAATAAACTCTGTCAAGGCAAATGTCAAACAACATACACCGGACTGAGAAGAAAAAAAAAAACATTTAACATCATTGTAAATGAATTTAAGGTTCTTCCCTGGCCCATCCCCCATCCCTTCATCAACTTTGGTGAAAATGGTTTCAGTACTTTTTGCGTAATCCTGCTGACAAATAAACAGGTGGCGAAAACATAAACTCCTTGGTGGACGTAATGAACTTTGACCCCTTGCCACATCCAGCACAGGACATGCAATCCTTTGATAAGAAAGGAAGGAACAGAAAGGAAACCATTTTTGGAATATTTTTAATGGTTGCTAAATAACTCAATATAATTTATGATAATATAGATCCATATAGAGACAATGTCCTTGAAACTGAATTAAGCTAATGAATATCTGGTGTTGTTGAATGCATTATAAACAACTAAGAGTTCACACAAGTTCATTAAGGGTTTTTCGTCACATGATCCTCAGTAAACAGCAGTAGGCTCTGTGTGCAGATCTATATTGAACATCAAACACTTTCATTTTAAGGGACAATACACATAATATTTCACAACAAGCAAGTGAAGGAAACACGGCAGACAATAACCTCCTAAAGGTGTTACAACCCCCAGCTTCAATAAAATTGAAATAAAATGTGCTTAAAATTGCCCACTTTAAAAAGGGAAACTGGGGCATGAAGCAGTTTATATGTTTATATTGATTGTATGAAGAGCTGATAAAGGTATTTTAAACACTTATTAGATTGTGTTCATCCTCTACTGTTTGTGCAAAGACGGAAGATTGGGAAGGTAGGCTAGTATCATCAGTCACATCAAATTAATAAATGTAATTATTTCAGATCTTTAAGATTGGTGGAGGGTGGTAAAACTTAAAAGTTTTGTATTCCATAAACATGAGGTGATGAAACAACTTTGTCAGGGAGAAATAATTCACAATTGAGCAACTGCTTGTCTTTATTATAGATGGTGTGAAATGAGCAAAAACTTGAACATGCAACCTGTTAAAAATCTTGTATATTTATACACTCTGTGTACACCAGATTCTGTGTGTGTGTGTGTGTGTGTGTGTGTATGCTGTTAAAAACAACACACACACACACGCAACTCGAAATGCCACTGAAAGGCAGCTCTTCAAAAAATAAAAGCGGAATCCTCTGAACACACCCTTGTTCCCATAAGACGTGAACGCCGCATTAATCACCCCTCGCACGTGGGCGTGGTCTAGTCGAAAGGGGAGGAGTTGTATGCGTGCGTGTGTGTGTTTGTGTGCGTGTACGTATGTATGTGCGTGTGTATCTGTGTGTGTGTGTGTGTGTGTGTGAGAGTGTGTGTGTATCCCTGGCCGCATGAGATGAGCTGCCCGCAGTCTTTGCAGCCACTGTTTTCGCCTCCTCCTCTATTGCTTCTGTCTCGCTGTCCAGTCCGGGAATGTTGACCACCGTGGCCTGATCCAGCGCTGCCGAGTGTCCCTTCATCTCCAGACTGCCGCTCTCCGTTTTTGTCTCTGAGGGTCGTTGCCTGCCTCAACTGATCTGGCTGTAAGGTGAGTGCATGTTGCTGGATGGAGAAGCAGTTCCCATGCTCCTTCTTTGGGGGGTGTGGGGGAGGCGAGGGGGAGGGGGGGGGTCCACTGAGAGTGGTCAGTGAGCGCGTGAAATAAAAGTTTTAATGTGCTGTTGTGATGACACGCACTGTTTTGCGGGTCGGAACACACGTGAACGTTGCGCGTAACCGCCTAGCGGGACCTGGGTCCATGCCTGCCTTTCTGACAACGTAGCGGCCAGTCATTGAACTTTGAAAACAAGTTTATTCAGCGGATCGAGCTGTTGCATTAAACTAAACGGACTTCACTGTATTCATACTAGTGGGGAGCTTCCGCCGGAGACACCCCAGCCTGTTCCGGGGTTAGTACGCGTGCCGATACACCGTCTCAATCTCGTGCGCTTTCCTGCACCTTTCCCAACATTTACTGTGATTCGAGTCCCTCGAATAACCTGCCCTGTGTACAGTTGCGTAACAGCGGTCTACAGTGGACCATAGGCTACTTTCAACCCCCCCACCCCACCCCACCCCCTACTCAATTCTGTGAGAGTTTCGCCAGTCTCGCCTTATCGCCTTATCCTTTTGGCAGCGTTTGCTTTGGGGGTGGGGATGGAGGGAGGCAGGCAGGCAGGGAAGGGGGGTGGGGGGGCGTTTTCCCAGGGATGTTCATGAAGCCCTACTGCAGTGGTTCCCCAAGTGGGCTGGAGGGACCCCCATGGGGTCCTTGGGTGGGTTCCAGGGGGTCCCTAAGTAAAGTAAAGTGAGGAATTGTTGAATTGAACGGATCCACCACAACTTACCACAACAAGAGGAAGAAGTCCCTTTAATCAACAAGC